GTACCGGCGTCGTACTGGTTTACCGTGGTTTCCTATTCTAGCGTCAGGAACACGTTACCACCAAAAACCAGTACAGGTGTCCAGTGTTGGAACAGGGGGAAAAGTCGTATACTAAGCTAGCGTCCAGAAAATGTTACCACAACAAGTCACTGTACCCATGCGCCAGTGTAGTAGCCACGGTCGTCCGCAGGCCACGAAGTGAAGTGTCCGAACGTCATAGGGCGGGAAGCTGGGTGTGGGTGGTGGCGAAGAGTCGTTTGGAAATTTGGTAGAGCTTGAACCGGCCCCCCCACAAAGTGGGGGTATTGCCCGCCTCCTATGAAAACCCTGGCACTGGTGAGAACGGAGTGTCCCCACGTGCTAGTAATTGTTGTTGTTGTTGTTGTTGTTGTTGTTGTTGTTGTTGTTGTTGTTGTTGGTGTTTGCCAGGCGCGGACCGCGGATGTCCATGTCCCGACCCGTTTCCTCTCGCTTCCCCCCCCGGCTGGCCGCCGAGTCGACCACCGCCGCCGCTGGGGCAGCCACCGGGCGGCCAGGTGGGCCCCGGAGGCCTCCAGGACGGCCCCAAGTTGGCCCCGGAGCGAGACCCGAGAGCCCGAGACGGCCGAAGATGGCTCCCCGAGCGCTCCTGAGAGTCTAGGCGATCGCAGGGATGGATCAAGGGGGGCGTGGATTAGCGACGGGTCTCGCTTCCATGGGAAATCGCGGATCTCCGCCGCCGAACGAGGCGGCACCGGCCGTACCCATCGGTCGGAAGAAGTAGGTAGAAACATGAAGTAGGAAGGCGTTGGAAATAGATTGGGTTTCCGCACGCCTCCTGAAGAGGAGGGAAGAAGGAAAACCACTCAACTCTTGAAGTAGGAAGGCGCCTAAAGTAGATTAGGATTTGGGCATCCAAAAATACCTACTTTCAACGACCGGCGTGTACTGCTGCCCACAAAAACGGCCGCTGCAGTGCGCCTCCGCCTCCGCTGCCAACCCCCCCCGGGTGCTGTCAGAGGTGGGCCCTTCCTCGGCCTGCCTCGGCGCAGCCGCGCCCGAGGGAGGCACGCGCAGTCCCTGCTGCTGCTGCTGCTCCTCCTCCTCCTCCTCTTTCTCCTCCCTCCTCCTCCTCCTCCTCCTCCCTCCTCCTCCTCCTCCTCCTCCTCCTCCTCCTCCTCCTCCTCCTCCTCCTCCTCCTCCTCCTCTCCTCCTCCTCCTCCCTCCTCCTCCCCCTCCCTCCTCCTCCTCCTCCTCCTCCTCCTCCTCCTCCTCCTCCTCCCTCCTCTCCTCCTTCCTCCTCCTCCTCCTCCTTCCTCCTCCTCCTCCTCCGTCCTCCTCCCCCGTCCTCCCCCGTCCTCCTCCTCCTCCTCCTCCTCCTCGGCCTCTTCCTCCTCCGACGTGACCACCCGGCACGCCTCGTATCCTCGGACGTGAGGACCACCGCGCCGTAGCGGACCCTGGCGGCGTCCACCAACCTGCGGGCCAGGGGGGCCCCACCCATTGCTTTTTGTGCTGTTGCTACTGGCTGGTCTGTTACTTATGCTTGTTGTTTTGTTATCTGCTTGAATGGAAACCGAGCGTATCTCGAGAAGGTTGCCCAGGGGCCACAAGGAAGACTGCCCATTCAGCCGTGGGGGAGGTGGTGGGATGAAAGGATGGCGGAGGCATTGGCCACAGATGGGCAGGCCATCAGAAGGGGCCGTCATGGGCTGCTGGGTGACCACCCATGCCGCAGACGGGCTCCTTGAGGGTGGGGGGGAGGGCTGTCGCAACCAGCTGGTCCATGCCCCCAGCGAGATGACAAGTCACGCTCCGCCCCGCACTTTTCGCCGACGCCGCCCCGCAATCCACCCCGCAATCACGAAAACCACAGGCAATTCTGACGACTCGGGCAACCGCTAGGGGACCGGGAGGGGGGGCCCTCACACAGGCTCTTCGCCCTGGGCTGAGGAGGAGGAGAAGGAGGAGGCGGAGGAGGAGGAGGAGGAGGAGGAGGAGGGAGGAGGAGGAGGAGGACGAAGGAGGAGGAGGAAGGAGGAGGAGAAGAAGGAGGAGGAGGAAGAGGAGGCGGAGAAGGAAGGAGCTGATGATGATGATGATGATGATGATGATGATGATGATGATGGATGAGGATGCTGATGCTGATGCTGCTGATGATGTTGATGATGAGGAGGAGGAGGAGAAGGAAGGAAGGAAGGAAGGAAGGAAGGAAGGAAGGAAGGAAGGATGGAAGGAAGAAAGGAAGGGAGGAGGAGGAGGAGGCCGAGGAGGAGGAGGAGGAGCATGAGGAGGAGGAGGAGGAGGAGTAGGAGGAGGAGGAAGAGGAGGAGGAAGAGGAGGAGGAGGAGGAGGAGGAGGAGGAGGAGGAGGACTGGGAAGAGGAGGGGCAGGTGGAGGAGCAGCAGCACCAGGCGGAGGCGGAGCAGAGAGCCCACCCCTTGCAGGCCTGCGCACCACGGGGTGCGAGGCGTCGTCCGCGGCGAGGAACAGCGAGCGTCGAGCGGAGCGCGGCGTGGTCCTCGCCCCGAGGGCCACGGGTTGCGCGCGCACGGATCCAGACTGTCCACGTCCGCGGCGTTTGGAGACCCAGGCATGATCGCGTCGTACACAAACCAGGACGGGAGGTTTTTGCCAATTTTCGGCCTCGGGGGGCCCTCGCCGGGGCTCGGGACCGTCAAAAAACGATTCAGCATGAAAAACCGGTCCCGGGGAAAGGGTCGGGACTTCCAGGGACGCCGTCCTGAAATTACAGCCGGAGTGCAGTATCCCCAAACAGGGTTTTTAGACCCACTGCGGTTTCCAAGGTCGATTGCGTGCCCGTCCAGTGCGGGCTGGCATGGCATGTTAAAACATGCCTCCTCCTCCTCCTCCTCCTCCTCCTCCTCCTCCTCCTCCTCCTCGCCCACCTCCTCTTCATCCCGAAAGGCATCTCGGAGCCCAGAGTTGCGAGGATGTCTCCATCGTAACGGGCTGGACCACCTCGCGCGCGGCATTTCGGACCCCAGAAAAGCGACGATGTCTCGGGCGAAACGTGCTGCGAGGAAGTCTCAGGCGAAACGGGCCGGACCATCTCGAGCGCGGCGTCTCAGAGCTCCGAGTTGCGGGAGCCTCCTGGTGCCTCCTGGGGCCTCCTGGGGACCTCCTGGGGCTTCCTCCTGGGCCTCCTGTGGCCTCCTGAACTCCACCTGGGGTTTCCTGAAGCCTCTTGGGGCTCCCAGGGGGGATATCTAACCTGTGGCCGCTTGGGCCCCTCAAAATACAGGGGGGGCCACAAGAGCAGGAAAAATCAACGAATCGACACCGGATGTGAATTAACTTGACACGTTCTGATAGGCGGCCTCCTGGGGCCTCCTGGGAGCCTCCTGGGAATCTCCTGCGGACCCCTGGGGCCTGTCCTGGGCGTCCTGCGGCCTCCTGAAGCTCTCTGGGGCCTCCCCCTCCTCCTGCCTGCTCCCTCATGCACATCATCCGCCTCCTCCTTCTCCCTTCCATCTCCTCCTCCTCCTCCTCCTCCTCCTCCTCCTCCTCCACCTCCTCTTCACCCCGAACGGCATCTCGGAGCCTAGAGTTGCGAGGATGTCTCCAGCGTAACGGGCTGGACCACCTCGCGCGCGGCATCTCGGACCCCAGAGTTGCGACGATGTCTCGGGCGAAACGTGCTGCGAGGAAGTCTCAGGCGAAACGGGCTGGACCACCTCGAGCGCGGCGTCTCAGAGCTCCGAGTTGCGGGGGCCTCCTGGTGCCTCCTGGGGCCTCCTGGGGACCTCCTGGGGCTTCCTCCTGGGCCTCCTGTGGCCTCCTGAACTCCACCTGGGGTTTCCTGAAGCCTCTTGGGGCTCCCAGAGTGGATATCTAACCTGTGGCCGTTTGGGCCTCTCCAAATGGGGGGGGCACAAGAGCAGGAATTACGCTGCCGAGGAACCCCACATACATATAATTTGGCTGGAGTGATGATAGCTGAAGTGAAGCATGTAAGAATGATGTTGGTGGCCGTTGCCACCCCCTGCGCACCCCCTATTTTGTCCAGAAAGTGCCACGCCTGCTATGCCCTGGACGACCGTCGTGCATAGCGGCCGCGGTGAGGGACCACCCCCTGCGCACCCCCTATGGTGTCGAGAAAGTGCCACACCTGCTATGCCCTGGACGACCGTCGTGCATAGCGGCCGCGGTGAGGGACCAACCCCTGCGCACCCCCTATGGTGTCGAGAAAGTGCCACACCTGCTATGCCCTGGACGACCGTCTCGAATAGCGGCCGCGCTCGGGGACCACCCCCTGCGCACCCCCTATGGAATCGAGAAAGTGCCACGCCTACTATGCCCTGGACGACCGTCTCGGATAGCGGCCGCGCTCAGGGACCACCCCCTGCGCACCCCCTATGGAATCGAGAAAGTGCCACGCCTACTATGCCCTGGACGACCGTCTCGGATAGCGGCCGCGCTCAGGGACCACCCCCTGCGCACCCCCTAAGTGTCGAGAAAGTGCCACGCCTGCTCTGCCCTGGACGACCGGCGCGGATAGGGGGACCACCCCGTGCGCACCCCCTATGGTATCGAGAAACTGCCACGCCTGCTACGGCCTGGACGACCGGCGCGGATAGGGGGACCACCCCCTGCGCACCCCCTATGGTGTCGAGAAACTGCCACGCCTGCTACGGCCTGAACGACCGGCGCGGATAGGGGGACCACCCCTGCGCACCCACTATGGCGTCGAGAAACTGCCACGCCTACGGCTACGGCCTGGACGACCGACGCGCGGACCGCGGATAGGGGGACCACCCCCTGCGCACCCCCTATGGTGTCGAGAAAGTGCCACGCCTGCTACGGCCTGGACGACCGGCGCGGATAGGGGGACCACCCCGTGCGCACCCACTATGGTATCGAGAAGCTGCCACGCCTGCTCTGCCCTGGACGACCGGCGCGGATAGGGGGACCACCCCTGCGCACCCACTATGGTATTGAGAAACTGCCACGCCTGCTACGGCCTGGACGACCGGCGCGGATAGGGGGACCACCCCCGTGCGCACCCACTACGGCGTCGAGAAAGCTGCCACGCCTGCTACGGCCTGGACGACCGGCGCGGATAGGGGGACCACCCCCTGCGCACCCCCTATGGTGTCGAGAAAGTGCCACGCCTGCTACGGCCTGGACGACCGGCGCGGATAGGGGGACCACCCCGTGCGCACCCCCTATGGTGTCGAGAAACTGCCACGCCTGCTACGGCCTGGACGACCGGCGCGGATAGGGGGACCACCCCGTGCGCACCCCCTATGGTGTCGAGAAACTGCCACGCCTGCTACGGCCTGGACGACCGGCGCGGATAGGGGGACCACCCCCTGCGCACCCCTATGGTGTCGAGAAACTGCCACGCCTGCTACGGCCTGGACGACCGGCGCGGATAGGGGGACCACCCCCTGCGCACCCCCTATGGCGTCGAGAAACTGCCACGCCTGCTACGGCCTGGACGACCGGCGCGGATAGGGGGACCACCCCCTGCGCACCCCCTATGGTGTCGAGAAATGCCACGCCTGCTACGGCCTGCGGCGCGGATAGGGGGACCACCCCTGCGCACCCCTATGGCGTCGAGAAACTGCCACGCCTGCTACGGCCTGGACGACCGGCGCGGATAGGGGGACCACCCCGTGCGCACCCCCTATGGTGTCGAGAAACTGCCACGCCTGCTACGGCCTGGACGACCGGCGCGGATAGGGGGACCACCCCCTGCGCACCCCCTATGGTGTCGAGAAAGTGCCACGCCTGCTACGGCCTGGACGACCGGCGCGGATAGGGGGACCACCCCCTGCGCACCCCCTATGGTGTCGAGAAACTGCCACGCCTGCTGCGGCCTGGACGACCGGCGCGGATAGGGGGACCACCCCGTGCGCACCCACTATGGCGTCGAGAAAGTGCCACGCCTGCTACGGCCTGGACGACCGGCGCGGATAGGGGGACCACCCCCTGCGCACCCCCTATGGTATCGAGAAAGTGCCACGCCTGCTACGGCCTGGACGACCGAGCTGAGCTGTGCTGTGCTGAGCTGAGCTGAGCTGTGCTGAGCTGTGCTGAGCAGTGCTGTGCTGTGCTGTGCTGTACTGTGCTGTGCTGTGCTGTGCTGAGCTGTGCTGTGCTGAGCTGAGCTGAGCTGAGCTGTGCTGAGCTATGCTGAGCAGTGCTGTGCTGCTGTTGTGCTGTGCTGAGCTGAGCTGAGCTGTGCTGAGCTGAGCTGAGCTGAGCTGTGCTGAGCTATGCTGAGCAGTGCTGTGCTGTGCTGTGCTGTGCGAGAAGGAGAAGGGGAGGGGGGAGGTGTGAGACGCGGGTGCGGCGCGGCAGGTAAGAAAATCAGAACCCCACGAAACATGTGGGGAAAAATCAACAAATCGACAACGGATGTGTATTAAATTGACACGTTCTGATAGGCGGCCTCCTGGGGCCTCCTGGGAGCCTCCTGGGAATCTCCTGGACACCCCTGGGGCCTGTCCTGGGCGTCCTGCGGCCTCCTGGTGCCTCCTGGGGCCTCCTGGGGACCTCCTGGAGCTTCCTCCTGGGCCTCCTGTGGCCTCCTGAACTCCACCTGAGGTTTCCTGAAGCCTCTTGGGGCTCCCAGGGGGGGTATCTAACCTATGGCCGCTTGGCCCCTCAAAATGGAGGGGGGGGGCACAAAAGCAGGAAAAATTAACGAATCGGCACCGGATGTGTATTAACTTGACACGTTCTGATAGAGGGCCTCCTGGGCCCTCCTGGGAGCCTCCTGGGAGCCTCCTGGGAATCTCCTTGCGGCCCCTGGGGCCTGTCCTGGGCGTCCTGCGGCCTCCTGGACCTCTCTGGGGCCTTCTGAGGCTCGCAGGGTCCCATGGAGGATATGTAACATGTGGTCTTCTGGGCCCCCAGGCTGGACCACCTCTTGCGCAGCATCTGAGAGCTCAGAGTTGCGAGAATGTCTTGTGCGAAACAGGCCGGACCACCTTGCGCACGGCATCTCAGAGCTCAGAGTTGCAAGGATGTCTCAGGCGAGACGGGCCGGACCACCTCGCGCAGGGCATCTCAGAGCTCAGAAGTTCGAGGATGTCTCAGGCGAAACGGGCCGGACCACCTCTCGCGCGGCATCTCCGAAGTCAGAGTTTCGAGGATGTCTCAGGCGAAACGGGCCGGACCACCTCGCGCAAGGCATCGCAGAGCTCAGAGTTTCGAGGATGTCTCAGGCGAAACGGCCCGGACCACCTCTCGCACGGCACCTCGGGGCTCAGAATTTCGAGGATGTCTCAAGCGAAACGGCCCGGACCACCTCTCGCGCGGCGTCCCGGAGCGCAACTTTTCGAGGATGTCTCAGGCGAAACGGCCAATCCCGGCCAACTCAGAAACGAGAATTGTGAGGACGTCTCAAGCGAAACGGCCAAAACCATAAAATTTGTGTGAGGATGTCTCTGCTCCGCCTTCCCTCGGCCGGAGTTAGTTCTATCACAACAGCACCCCGTTCAGCAAGTTGTTTGGGCAAAAAATCGTGACGTCGGATGTCTGGGGAGG